CTAACACGTTTGCGAGATTCTATAATCTCCGTGTAGAGCCCGTGTCCTCTCGTGTACTCGCCTCAGTTAGGCAGTAACACCGGACCCGCTCGGTGTCGATCATGCTTGCTGCGCCATTCCCCTCTACGGACCGGATACATGCGCTTTTTGCTCCTCAGTTCAGTTCCCCATGGCGAACCCTGTTGGAGTTCCTTCCGCACCCTCGGCGGTCAGGCGTGGCGGAGCGCCAGACGCCAGGTCCAGCACTCGTGTGTATGCCCAAGGTCAGCCCTTGTGCTGGGCTAGGTCTCCTTCAGGGAACGAGGGTTACACAAGTAACCGAGACATTGTTATTCTTAACTAAAGCTAAAATAATAAAAATGTGTTACTTGAAATGAAATAAATGTTAAGTGAAATAAAATATACAAAAACTTAAACTTATTTTATTATTATTATTTTAAATGATTATTTATTTATTTTTATTTTTTTTTCATTTTATTTCAGCCTGTTGGAAACAAGGAAACATTTCTCATTTTCATTAAGTTTAACTTGATTTACTAAAATAAGGAAACTAAAATAAAAATGAATGAAAATGAAAATTTAATTTGAGTTAAAAATTAAACTTTAATTTAACTTTAATTAAAATTAAAATGAAAACAGAAAATATAAAAATTATTAATAAAAACTATAATAGTAAAGTATTTAAATGATACTGAAATAATACTGGTAAGTCATTTTCTTTTCTCAGAATGTTTTGATTACCTTTAAGAAAAAATGTCTGTGTAAAATAAAATATATTACATGAATAATATAAATGCACATAATATTAAAAATGAATATAAACATTTCAATATAAAAAATTATGTATTATATATTGCAAACACACTTTTCCAACAAAATTTTTCACAAAAAATTATTTGTTCAAAATTGAGAAAAAAGTATTTGGACACTTTGTCATTATCAAATGTTAGTGGATTATGTTCATAGATGATGAAGGAAACCTGTGGTTTTTCTGCTAGGACACACAATGACAGAAAAGTTAAATTAGTTCTGCCAAAAGGTTTATCATCATTTGTTTGTAGATACCACATTTTTCAACATGTTTAAATGTCACTTGAGTGTACAAAAAAGGAGGGTCACTGCACATCCGTTGTCTGGTTTCTGGCAGACAACATGCTTAATCACCTTAATTCTTCTGTTTTCTCAACAAAAACACACTGTGTGGGCTTGAAACTTACATATTTTAACCTCAGCACCTTTTATGACTACAACAAAAATGTGAAGTTGCCTCCATCATCTGAGGGTTCCAGGTTTCAGGCGTCCCTGGTCTGTCTGTCAGAGAAGAGTCGCTGAAAGGAACAATGAGAGTCAGTGTGATACTCATTAACATCTAGAGCAGAGGAGAAAAAGCCTGCGTACACATCCAACACTTGTCAGATGACCCTGATCGGTGTGTTTCTCCACTGCAACCAGAGCAGAAGAAAACAAGATCACTGTCATGGATTTTTTCTGGATGTCCTTTTTAAATTGAGGAAGAAGGCTGAAGACTAAGGTGAGACTTTTTTCTTTCCTCACAGCTTTCTGTTTGAATCAAATATCAGTGAAACTATAATCATAATTATTTTGTTGTTTAGGGAAATGGTGAAATCCACAATGAACTTTATTGCTTTGCTAGTGATTTCAGCCTGTTTCTTCTCTTGGAACTCTGCAAAATACCACCACCATAATCAAGGTATATCATTATCATTTGAAAAAATTGAGTTGATATGAGAGACTTTGTGATTACAATATAAACATGATTTGAAAGCCCCTACAAGATATTTTAACACATAATATTAAATTACACAATGCTTTCACAACACGTTTTTATTTATTTATATTTTTTTATTTTTATATATTTTTTTCTAGACAAGGACAAAGAGCTAAAATACCTCTTGGAACCTCTGGTATATGCTGAGGTCACTGCTCGCCGTGGACACACAGTTGTTTTGCCCTGTGTGATGAGATTCAAACCATCGCACTACAGAGTAAAGTGGACTAAAATCGAACCCCCTAGTCAAGGAGTGGAAAACATAGTGCTTATAACAAACGGACACGCAGATAAGCAGTATGGCTCAGTCGGGCCCCGGGCGTCTCTCCTGCGTGCACATAACCTGGATGTTTCCCTGCGTCTTACTGACCTGGAGCTGGAAGATGATGGCAGCTACCGCTGTGAACTGATCAACGGAATTGAGGATGAAAGTGTCATTATTACTCTGAGAATTGAAGGTAGGACAAGCTGACAACCAGTCATGATCATTTAGATTTTAATTTTGTGCACACATGGTGACACTGAACAACAGTAAATAATAATAATAATAATAATTATTATTATTATTTCTTGTCTTCTTCTTAAATAATTAGTAAATGAAAGGGCTTTTAAACTGATGACGATGATAATAGTAATAAAATAAAATTATTATTATTATTGTTGTTGCTCTTATTAAATTATTAATAAATGCAGAGGGCTTTTACATTGATAATGATGATGATGTTGATATTGATAATGAATTATTATTATTATTATTTAATCATTTAAAATGCTCAATCCTTAATATTTTACATATATTCAATATATTCATATACATTAATATATTTTAATACATTAATTATAATTGGCCATGTATTTCAGGAGTTGTATTTCCTTATCAGAGCCACCATGGTCGGTACAGATTTACATTCTTTGATGCTAAAGAAGCTTGTGCTGAACAGGATGCCACACTTGCCACTTACAAGCAGCTGTACAGGGGTAATGATCATATTTACACACCTAGATTGCTTACTTTAACATACCTTTGAGCAATTTTGGCAAAAGTGTATTTAAATTCCCAAAGACTGTTATATGTTTGGTGCTTACCTATATTAATTCTGTGATACTCTTATGATGATTGATCTTAACAGCCTGGACTGAAGGGTTGGACTGGTGCAATGCAGGTTGGCTGAGCGATGGAACTGTCAATTACCCAGTCCTGCAACCACGGCCGGCTTGTGGAGGGGATCTTCTATCAGGCATCCGAAGTTACGGGCCCCGTCACAAAACACGGGACCACTACGATGCTTTCTGCTTCACCTCGACCACTAAAGGTCAGTGAATAGGGATTCTGCTGTGATGGAGATTAGAATGGGATTCAGATGATGACAAAATATATTTCACACATATTACAAAAACTGTTAGTAATGTTAGGACAGAGGTTTTCCCACATACTGTATGTTAAATAGTTTAGAAACTACTATTCTGAAGTTTGGGGTTAGTACGTTTTTTTTTTTTTTTTAAGAAATTAATACTTTTACTTAACAGGGATGCATTAAATTGATCAAAAGTGACAGTAAAGACATTTATAATGTTACAAAAGATCACAGTTTACACAAAAATATACACAAAAAACTGCTTTCAGCACTGATAATAAAAATAAATGTTTTTTGAGCACCAAATGATTTCTGAAGGATCATGTGACACTGAAGACTGGAGTAATGATGCAGAAAATTTTGCAAAATATATTAAAATAGAAAGGTTATTTTAAATTGCAATAATAAATCACAATATTACTATATTTACTGTATTTATCAAATAAATGCAGCCTTGGTGATCATAGGAGACTTTTTTTTTTTTTTTTATAAAATAAAAAATAAATAAAACCCTAAACATTTGAATAGTAGTGTAAATTATGTTTTTCCCAAACATGTGTATCCGGTGATCCAGTGAACAATTTAAGGGGGTCTGAATACTTTCCGTACCCACTGTAAATACATAAATGTTTAAAAGATACCTCACTTTTTGCTTTTCCAGGCTCTGTGTTCTTCATTCCAGGGCCATTCAGTTCTGCCGAGGCTGAACGTGCCTGCAGACGGGATGGTGCCAGTCTAGCGAAGGTTGGTCAGATCTACTCATCTTGGAAGTTTCAGCAGCTTGACCACTGTGATGGAGGCTGGCTGCAAGATGGCAGTGTACGATTCCCCATCATCAACCCAAGGGAGCACTGTGGAGGGATTGCAGCACCACAATATTACTATATTTACTGTATTTATCAAATAAATGCAGCCTTGGTGATCATAGGAGACTTTTTTTTTTTTTTTTATAAAATAAAAAATAAATAAAACCCTAAACATTTGAATAGTAGTGTAAATTATGTTTTTCCCAAACATGTGTATCCGGTGATCCACGGTCCTTTCCTGAAAGAATAATTGTTACATTGGTATAGGTAAACTGATACAGAGATTTATAGGAGGCATCGTCCCTACTAAAATGTTTCTGTTTGAAACAAAAGGTCATTAGAAACACAGTCACTGTTTGTTCCCCAAATAGACTAGAAGTGACACAGCCAATCAGCTCTGTTGTGTTTGTATTTAGGAAAGACAAAGAGTCTGTTACTCTGTAGAGTGACATTTGAGCTCCCATTATGCCCACATGAGACTGTTGAATATGGCACTAATTGAATGTCAATAACAGATATACAGGAATTACTCCTAGAAAACAGTGCAGTTTGTTGTGCAGATCACAGCTGTTCACTAAATGTAATTATTTTCCATATAGTGTTATTATATCTATGTTGCACTTATACAGTGGGTACGGAAAGTATTCAGACCCCCTTAAATTTTTCACTCTTTGTTATATTGCAGCCATTTGCTAAAATCATTTAAGTTATTTTTTTTTCCTCATTAATGTACACACAGCCTTGGAAGTTTCAGCAGCTTGACCACTGTGATGGAGGCTGGCTGCAAGATGGCAGTGTACGATTCCCCATCATCAACCCAAGGGAGCACTGTGGAGGGATTGCAGAACCAGGGGTTCGTAGCTTCGGGTATCTCGGCAAAAGTTTGCGGCTTTATGGGGCTTATTGCTATAGATAACTGTTCCATGTTTTGCTGCCTGGTTAATTTCTGCTACAGAATGTCTGCACATACATGGCACACTGGCCTAAAAGTGAAGTACCTAAAGAGGTGCAGAATTTATCCTTCATTTGTGGAACATAACGGTATGAGCACCACTAGAGGCTCTCTTCAGTGTAGAGCTGCAGGTAAAAGGGAATGTATGAGCTATACAGTTAACGTTCTGGATTAAAGCTAGCATTCACATCCATCTGTGCTATATATCAGTTCAGTTACTAAGTTTTTTTTTTAAAAGCAGAACATTTTGGGTCCTGCTGGGAATACATCACTTTCAAATTAAGAGTGGATTGACACAAAGGCTTTACTCCTGCTTGAATAGCTGCTACTGTAGCTTAAAAAGCTTGATAGCTTTGACTAAAGCTGTGCTGTAAATTGCAGCTGCACAGGCATTAAATATATAGCAGCAAGAACAAAATGTCAACCAAGTCTAACAATTAATCAATGTATTTATAACAACATATGCAGATTCCACAAACTTTTATCTTTAAAAAGAGATGTACTTAAATTAATGTTGTAGTTTTTTTTCCGTAAACTTGTACAAAGGGAACAAATTATCCTTATGTTCTTATGTATTAATGTTACATTGTTTAGCACCATGTACTGGATGGTGCCTTATAGTTGGATTTTTATTTATTTATTTTAACAATAAACAAAATAGTAAGATTGTAAAATGTGTGAATAAAATTACCAATAAAAATATGAAATCTGTATAAACATACACTCATTTTTTTGTGACAGTCATAAAGTGCAGTGAAAGTTACATACACATGCACAGTGTTTCAAAACAAACAGTAATCAACTCAAAAGACAAATTTCCATAAAATATTCTTTTCAAAGTGCCTCACAAACCACAGGTGAACTACTAGTAATGCTTAGAATATTAACCACAGATTTGTTAAACTAATTCTTAATAACACTTAAGGATACACACATATTCACATAATGCAAGAAAATTCATTAACATTTCTGGTAACTTTTTTATTGTGATTGCTCTAATTGCTTGGAATGTATTTCATTTCATGTTTTGATAAATACGCCCTGGTATCAGGCCATCCAAAACTAAAATATGGTTTTGTTAGTGATGCATCTCTGAAACAAATTAAACTGACAGTAGTCTATTGAAAATGGCCATCCTCCAGAGTACAATACAGACCTGAAAATCTGAGCACCAAGTCGCAGAATGACCAACTGTGGACCTGGAAATCACAAACATTTGTGGAGTGCATAAGGAATTGTCCCTGCTTCATAAAGCTTTGCTGACACAACATTAACACAAAGGATGGATTGATATGCTTGAACTGACTTGATTGAGTTTACAAAGGTTACAGAAGTTTCTTTTCAACATTTTTTTTCCAGAGTATTTTAAAGCCAAAAACAAGCATAAAAATATTCCTGTTGTGTTTATCAAGGAATTACTGTTAGTTTATGACAACGTTGGGTCATTGTTAGTCTAAGAGTTCTTGATCTCAAGTTGGCAGACAATCCGAAGCGAGGAAAAACACAGGACACTAAATGTTTAAGAATGGATAAGTAATACTGCTGAAGGCAGACATATTTAGTCACTACAGGGCCACAATATAAAACAAAATGATTCATACCAGCTGATGTTAGAGAGCATTCGTTCATAGGTTTATCTCATAATTTATTTAAAAATAAAAAAGGATGAAATGAAACAGAACAGGTGTCTGGTCCAAATGGTTACAAGCTTTGTTTGGAAGTTGCATTTTATCAAGCGTGCTTTTACGGTAACTTAGAATTACAAAACGTAATTCAGTGTCATGGTCTACACAGAGAAAAATGGAAAAGAAAAGAGCCGAGAGAAGAAAAACAAACATTTATAACTCTTTAGTCTAATTTAAGTATCCTGTTATAAATGTTTGGTGTATTTAAACTGTTATCCAATTGGAAGTACCATTTTAAAAAAGTTAAGTGGGACCGTTTTTTATATAACATTGCTGTTATATAAAGAACTTTGTAGAGTTGATCGATGGATGTTTTTAAGGAGGATGAACGAAGGGATGACATGATAAACAGGAGAGTGAAAGAAATAATGAAATGCTATATGCTGTGTGCTTGTTTTAAAGGTTCCATTTTATATCCAAATATTCAGGTGTTGTTGTTTTTGTTGTTGTCTCTTCTATGATTATTTCCTTGTTCTGACCTGTGGGCCATTTTACCAGTTCTCCATTTGAGTATGCTGGTCCCACTGTGAGCAAAATACATTAAATGAACACTCAATAATATAAAACAATATAATATAATATAATATAATAAATATAATATAATATAATATAATATAATATAATATACACCTGGTGAACAAGTGATCTTAGGTTCCTCCCACTGTCCGTTGCTCTGACATGTGATAATAGGGTTTTGTTTCTGGATGAAGCCATATAATATAATATAATATAATATAATATAATATACACCTGGTGAACAAGTGATCTTAGGTTCCTCCCACTGTCCGTTGCTCTGACATGTGATAATAGGGTTTTGTTTCTGGATGAAGCCTGGCTCACAGTAGTAGCGCACCTGTGAATTGGCCCTGTACTTTAGTTGACGACGTCCAAATATCTTAGCGTGCAGCACGAGAGGGGGCTGGCCACAGAACGCTGCTAAAGATAAACAAACCATGATGAACTTTTGCTCTTCCTGGGCCCCAGCACTTCCACAAATGGTGACGTACTCACCAATGCCTTTCTTGCAGGTGTAGGACAGCTGGTAGTTGCAAGGGATATCACTCCAACGCCCATCATCGTACCATACCATGACAACACAATCCTCCCCAGACAGGAAGTAGCTGTCTGGTTGTCCACGATACCAGTTCTCATACAACTGATACAGAGAGACAGGTCAAAAGTTTTTCATCAAGTCACGAACCCCTTGGAGTTCCAGTTTGGAAAACCCCTGAAGAAACACTTGATGTTTTGTTTTTGTTTTTTTAACCACAGAAAGTCCTATCAGTAGACTCACCAGAGGGTTCCCATCTGACCAACGAAAATCTCCCTCAATGGTCTTGTCATTGAGACCCATCCACTGATACTCCCTGTATTTATCTAATGAAAGAGAAAAACACAGAAATGCCAAAGAACCAGCATACACTGTCAGTAAGACACAACATAGACTCCATTTCGAGTTTAACACCCGGATGCATCATACTGTATATGACAGACATGCACAGGACCTTTTAACACAACCCTCATTCACTCACATGAATAAGGTGACACGTTCAAAGCCCTTCACCGTTTTGATGATTGCATAGAAATGCAGAACAAAATGCAGGGCCTCTCAATGTTATATCAACAAACCTGGTCCTTTATGAATTCCTTTATGTACTGTAAGCTAAATCGCTTCAGTAGCTTGACACTCTTTTTGACTTTTAGTTTGAGCAATATTGAACAAGAGTACTGCTTTTTTTCAGATATACAACAGTTCAATAAGCAAGAAGTTAGTATTGAGTAAGCTAACTTACAGTTTGGAGAAATTATTGGCATTTTAATTTGTCTATTTTTGCTCTTCACCAATAAAAATAGTTTCAAATGAAGCCAACGCAGATTTAAACGGTGCACATCTCTGAGTAAACATACCTTAATGGAGTTTCTTCCTGAAAATTTGGTTAAGTATATAATTCAATGGCTCACTCATAATAAAGACTTTACTTGGTTTGAACCTGCATGAATCTAACAAATTGGTTAAACAAATTATAATTCACTCATAAAGACACTCACTTCTGCACCACCTACTGGCAGAAAGAGTTCCGGAAAAATAAACACACTTGCAAAGGCTGACAACCTGTCTCATGACACCTTGTTAAACATATTCCATCAGGTTCAAATCAGGTTCCATCAAGTTGACATTTTTAACATATGATAAGAAGTCAAAATGATTAGATCAACAGGAAAGGGCCACCTACAAGCACTTGTTCAGACGTACCATTGATAAACTCCTGTTCCTCAGGTGACATAACAGAGACCAGGTGACCTCCGCACATGCGACAGTGCTGCTCTGCCACCTCCCATTTCTGCCGTTTGGTGAAATGTTTGAAACAAAACCCTTGGAACTTTTCCCAGCCTGGTTCACAGTGCTCTAGATCTTTGTTGGGGGATGTAAAAATATTAAAGAAATCAAAACAGAATCAACATTAGGTAACAAAAAAAATTAATTTTTAAAAGATTAAAAAAAAAAGTTCTGAAACAATTGCTCCACTTTTTCCAGTGTAGAAGTACAATGAGGTATGCAGGTAACTCACCTGTCTCACAAATGTCTCCTCCATAAGTGGGTAGACAGAGACACCTATGACCTTCTCCACTGTCCACACATGTGCCTCCATTTTTACAAGGGTTCTCCAGACATGCATCTAAAAGGCCATTCACATGTTTTTATAGCTCACTATAAAAATATTGGACACAAGTGAAGGCTTTGAAATAAAGCATGATTATACTAAGCACAAGGTGGTGCTACTACGCAGCTGCACTGAGAGTATGACACAAAATTTGTTGACCACAACTAAAATAACAGGCTAAATCTAGACCCCTGAATGGTTCTGTTAACCTCTAGCTACATAAAACATGGCGTATCAGCACCGGATACATTGCCGTTTCTTTCCAATTGTTCTCTTATCACTTTCTAGTCATCACGGCCCCACTAAACCAAACTCTTCCTTCGTGCACGACTGAAACTATTTGTTGTGATGGGGGTTAAACAATTCTGATAAATTCTTTCTGTCTCTCTGTCTGCACTGTACTCTTTGAAAGACGCGCTACTCAGTTGTTACAGATTAGTGCATATCTACAGTGGCCGAGAGAGCTCAACGCGCTGCAACTTAAGAAAACACATGCAAATTGAAAAAACACCAGCAAATTAAGAAAACACCTTCATCAGTTTGACAACACACGCGCTGCAAATCCTCACAACACATGCAAACGAAGAAACGCGCTGCAACTCCTCACAACGCATGCAAACGAAGAAACGCGCTGCAAATCCTCACAACGCATGCAAACGAAGAAACGCGCTGCAAATCCTCACAACGCATGCAAACGAAATACTAAAATAACTGATTTAAGGGGCCTGACCATGTACTTTTTAAACTAATTTAATAGATGAATAGTTATTCATCATTAAATAGCACTGAAATAATTTTGGGCAAGTTTTTTTTTTCTCCTTAACTGCCCACATTAAGAAACTTCTCTTCCCCATTGTAAATGCATGGAGATCTACTACAACACAGACAGACAAGCAGTTTTTAAAATACAAATTGCAGCCTGGAAGATGAGACAATACATACAACAATATGTTTACCTGAAATGTAGCCTGTCCTGACCAACACTCTCTGGGTAGGTCTGGCAGGTAGAGTGGAAGACTCGGGTGTGGTTTTGACATCATTCTTCATAATCATTATCATGAGTTCATAATCATTATCATCGTCATCATCATCTTCATTGTTGGCTGTCGTAGTGGATGGTTTTTGGGTTTGCGTTGTCTGCTCATTGGTGGGTGCATTGGTGGAGTCGGATTCATCTAAGGCTTTGATGTAATCTGTGGTAAGTGCCACTTCCCCACTGAATTCAACATCTGCTCTGAACTCTCCTGGGTTTGTGGAAGAGGCCACAGTTTGCCAGATGGGACTTTGGGTCCCATGAGGAAGAAACGTAACCTCCAGACTTTTTGTGGGTCCCACAGTGCTGGCCTGATTATCATCATTATCACTATTTGTTTCAATAAGGTCTTGCATATCTGTCAGATTAGAAGGAGTGATGGTGGCCACATTTGAGTATGGATGCTTAATAACTGAAGACCCGTTTCCTGGAAGTTCTCTTTCTCCGGAAGAGACATCCTCATCACTGCCATCAACACTGAAAGTTACAGTAGAATTATTAAGCTCACTGGATATGGTGGCTCGTTGATTAGGTTCCTCTCCAAGCCCTTCCTGTTCCACCATCTCCAGTTCTTCTTCCACAATCCCAAGGCCAGATGGAGTGGTGCTTTCAGAAAAGACTCCTTCCATTTCCTGTGGAGAATTGATTTCTACCTGTACAGGCCCATGTGTGGTTGATGTGCCCAACAGATGAGGCATAGGAGTGGTCAACAGTGTGACTGGCAGGATGTCATCATGATCGGCAGAACCTTCAGAAGATTCAGTTTCCTTCGGTGTTGTGCTCCCAGTCGAATAATCACTGGCATCATCAACTGCACCAAGAGACACAGGAAGAGTCTCAGTTGAGGTCTCTTCAGCATTGTGATGGTCTGCAGAACTGTCTTCAAGTCTGGATTTAAAAGCTGCAAATTAACAAATCAAACACAACAATTTCATTGTAATTTATAAGGCAAACCATGATTAGGATATGGAATTTTCTTAACAGCTGGTGATTTACAGTTAATTTATGGAAATTTAATCACAATTTTTATTTCCATCCATCCATCGTTTAAATCATTCTCTCTGTCCATAAGCCCTATAAACTTTCAAAGTTCAAGGCTTTTTCATAAAACTTTTCAAATATGGATCTCTTTGAATTTCAATTAATTTTAAGTCCACTTTTTTTGAGGCATTCTCAATTCAGTTCTGAATGGCACACAACCCTGATTTCGGTATATTTGTGATTATTAAAAACCACACAAAAAACATTATTTGCTGATACACCGCATAAGTAGATTGTTTTTTTTTTTACTTACTTGGACTAATACTGTTCAGATGTGTTAATGAGAAGCTCTCTGTCATAGTCTCAGGCGTAGATGCTCCATATGTCTCTGATTTATGCGAGGTGACCAAATGTTCGGCTTTTTGTGTGAATAACAAGGTCAAGTCCTCACCGGAACCCTCCAACCAACCTTCAGTGCTGGATGGTCTTATTGAGGTGGACTGAGTTGTGTGTGTAAAAAGACCCAGGTCTTCATCTGGCTCTGGAGTTTCTGTGATATGTCCTGCATTTTCTTCTACTGTAGCACCTTCAGGTAGGTATGTTGAGGGACTTGACTGGACTGAAGCATCCTGAGTTGTGGTGGCACTGCTTGAGTCATATTCCGGTGTTGTACCCTTAGTGGTCATGGAGATCTTACTAGTCACATGATCTTTATCCTCATCCTCCAGGTTGGTGTTTGGCATGGGTTGGAAGTGTTTGGACCCATCTATCTCCTTCGGTTGGGAGGGCGGTTCCTCTGTTGTCTCTGGCTGAGCCTCTGTAGAAGGGATGAAGTGGATAGGCTCTCCTGGCTGTAGGTTGGTATCTGGCATTGGTTGGTAGTGTCTATGATTGCTGCTCTCAACACCATCAATTGCTGAAGCTTTTATATCTGGTTCTCCTTCTTGTGTGAAATCATTGTGCTTTGGATCCATGTAAATCTCTGGAACAGACTCAACTTTTTGCCAGGTGACCTCAGTGGACTCAAGATATCTCTCTGTGCTGGTTGGGATGGTGGAGTCTCTATAGGTGCTAGCAGTGACATGTAACCGAGGGCTTGTGTTGTGCTTGTGTTCCTCAGGTTCTAAAGTAGTCTGTGTGCTGTAAATGGAGAAGGACTCAACAGCCCCTTGAGCTTCATTTTCTGACTGTTGAGTGATCTGATCCAAATTGTACTCCTCTAGGCGATCTGCTAAAGTCATAATATGCTGCTCGGTGTCCTCTGGCTCTGTTGCCATATGATCTATAGGTAAGACTGTCTGAGAGTTGCTGTTAGCTGCAGAGGAAGAGTAGAAGAGATACCAATAACCAAAGGGGGACTGACTTTTTGATGCCAAGGATCCCAATGATATCATTTGGAGGGAATCCCTTTCTTTCATGTAAATCAATTTATGAAAAATATTATCACATCTTTAGCACACAGCCCTAAAAATGTTTTCCCTCCCCCTCAAATTTTATCACAGACCCCCTGGCACCCCTTTGCGCCCCCTTGGGGCGTCCCTGGACTACAGTTTGAACCTTGGTTAACTTAAGACAGTTTTGTAAACCTTTAGAAAAACTCAAATTCAAACATATCTGTAAATACCTCTGAAGCAGTAAGTGTCATGGCGAGTGTCTGGTTCGGGGAAACCTGTTTGACTGATAAAACGATAAACTGTCTTGACACCAGGTTCAGAACCCCCACATCGTTCACGAGGGGTCACAATGGGGTATCGAACGCTTCCATCAGCAAGCCAGCCTGGACTGCAGTGGTTCAGACCATCATTCCATGCGGCATACAGTTGACCAGTGGTGGCTAGCTGAGCCCCCTGCTGCTCACAGTATGTCTTAGCCTCCGTCAAGCTGAAGCGCTGTGGGGATGACCCATGAAAAACCTCTCCTAAAAAAGGTTACATCAATGAATGATCAACCAATTTTTGCTTTTAAAAGACTGACCATCACAAACAAGTCATCGTAAACAGAGTGCATTCTTTGAACATGGACTGCTTGCCAATATCAATAGTTTGCAGCACAGTTAGCATTGCATTGCAAAAGTGTAATATTAGCAATATGGGAGTGGTTTACCGTGAATGTTCTCCACATAGCAATACACGTCATATAATTCATCATTATCCACCATGCCATAGTTTCGAATGCCTGGTAATCCATCCATGTCTCCAAAACACCCTTCACGTGGCATCTGGATTGGGTATCTAAGAAGGCAAAGGCATGGTATAAAAACATTTTAATTAATTCTAAAGATACTTGTATTGTTGTTATTAGTCAAAACCAATTAAACTTAACCCCATTAACCAATCTTTTTTCTTATTTTGTTTTTATATCCTAAGCAATGCAACAGGACAATGTTTAGCTCCACCCCCAAATATTATTGGTCCAGAAATCTATTCCAAATATTAAATGGCAAATATGTTCTGACAGACTGTGATTTTGTTGCTTTACATGTGAATAGAAAAATTGCTAGCACCTAGAAAGTTGCATCACATCTACTGCATCACATCTACTGCAAATATACTGCAAGTATCTACAGGATATGCTTAGTAGTTGGTTATTTGATGTATCTGTCCACTCACCTAACAGAGCGATCTGAAAGCCAGCCGGCGTCACACTGCTCATAACCACTGCGGTACGCAGCCAGCAGCTGTTCTGGAGAAGCAATCTGAGCTCCAATGTCCTCACACGCGTCTTTGGCCTCATCAAACATGAAGGCGTAGCGACTTGAGGTATGGCGGTAGTGGAAGACGACACCTAAGAACACACAGCATGTCACTGTTCTCATACAGTGGGTACGGAAAGTATTCAGACCCCCTTAAATTTTTCACTCTTTGTTATATTGCAGCCATTTGCTAAAATCATTTAAGTTAATTTTTTTTCCTCATTAATGTACACACAGCACCCCATATTGACAGAAAAACACAGAATCGTTGACATTTTTGCAGATTTATTAAAAAAGAAAAACTGAAATATCACATGGTCCTAAGTATTCAGACCCTTTAAGGGGGTCTGAATACTTTCCGTACCCACTGTATATTATAGCTTTTGACCTGTTATGAAGTGCTATTTGACATTTACTGGTCTGGACAATAAATGTTTCTTGAGCACCAAATCAGCATATTACAATGATTTCTGAAGGATCATGTGACACTGAAGACTGGAATAATTGCTGATGAAAACCGCAAGAATAAATTACCTTTTAAAATATATTCAAAAGAAAAAGTTATTTTAAGTTTTAATAATATTTCTCAATATTACTGTTGTTACTGTATTTTTTATAAATGCAGTCTTGGTGAGCATAAGAGATTTCTTTCAAAAGCATTAAAAATCTTTCTGATCCTAAACTTTTGAATGGTAGTATGTATGTGTGTGTATAATGTGTGTGTGTGTGTGTGTGTGTGTATATATATATATAATTTTTTAATGATATGTTCTTAATTATATAAATTTCCTGCTTATATAAGCAGGAATTTCTTCCAAATCTTATTAATTAATTGGGATCAAAACACTTTTGTCTAAATGTGGCAAGATCTAAAGTGTTGTCTCAGACAATCTGGGGCTGCCAGTGATCTTTGCATGTAAAGTAGTTTAAATAATAATCACCTTTTACTTTGACTTGTGCCTGGTCATGAGCATCCTCCAAGCCATGCTGGACTTCACAGCGGTAGAAGCCTGTATCGTTGTGTATCAGTCCATCCAGTCTGAGGGTGAGATCAGCTGAAGAGGCAGCATAATTCAGCAGTGATGCCCTGCCTTTATACAACTCACTCACCTTTACCCGCTCACCATGGGCCACCAAGATTTCTGTCTCTCTGTTTGATGAAAGAAAGCTCCATTTGACTCGTGGCTGGGTCAGTACAGCATGTCGGCCCAAAGATGTGGTCCGGGAGAGACTCACCAGACAGGGCAGAGTCAGGGAGCCCCCCAAAATTGCAGACACTGGGGGGCTATCAGGAATGGTCACTTGTAAGAATGTGGTCTCATCTGAGAAAAATACAAGAATGATTGAGATGCTAATCAACTGACAGTTTAATAATGACCTGAATTGGATTTTCATTTTTAATATTCAAAGTTTTGAATTTAATTTTAGTGTGCGTTTTTAGACTTTGTGTTACTAAAAAGCAATAAAAGTGTATTAACACACACTGTAAATGCACTCTAAGAGCTGTCTGTGACCTTTACTGTTATTTATCATTAATTATATCCTGTGTGTTGAACGGTAGAGGTGAGACACACCTGCTGCATGACTGAGGACGGCAGAAGATGACAAGATAAAGAGGCAGATGGCACACAGCAGTATATGCAGGAACATCGCTGATCTGAGACCAAACAGAGAGGGAGAGAATGAGACAATATATAGAAACCAAGTCAAAGAACAGCATTATAAAAGTCAAAGGGACACTGTGACATACCACAACATAAGATCGTTGTGTTGAAATTAAAGATGCAAACATTTATTTCCAGTACAGCAATTTAGTTAATTTATGTCATTTAATTAAACTGCATTCTGTTCCAGTGTAACTTCATGGATATTCATAGGGGGAAATGACACACTGCCGTGTGTGAGAAAGCGAGAAAATGAGAAAGAGGGAGAGAAAGTTCTTTGTGCCTCTGCTGTTGCCAGATTGTGTGACTTCACACTATCACTGAATTTTTTGAGCCTTTTGAAATCAAACTGTTTGACTGCAAAATTTGAATAGCTATTGCAATAGCATTAAGTCACTAAATTAAGTGAATTTTAGTCTGTTCAAGTGAAGAAAAGAAAATTGCTTTAAAAAAGGGGTTGTCAACCTTTTCAGAACCAGGGACCCCCGCCAAGAGGTATACAGTATATAAAGACTATCATTTATTAGAACATTTGGATTTACAATACAGTTATATGAAATGTCCCATAAGAATATATTTAGGTTATATAAGTTAACAAATTAACAAATATTTAACACTTTTAAAGAAGATTTTATATATACTGTATATGTATATATATATATATATGCATGTGTATTTTTTTTTACATCTTCTCCACAGATCCTTGTTGTAGACCTCTGGTTGAAAACCCTGGTTTTAAAGGCATAAGACTGAATAGAACAAAACAGAAAGGCTTGCCTGCAGTTCTTTGGAAAGAAGCAACAAAATGCTCAAACAGCGCAGTAAACAAATTTTCACTGCAGACAGCACAGTCTTTAGAGGGTGTGTTTATTCTTTACACGAGAAGACTTCACAGACTTATAATTTGTGTTGAATAAAATTTTTATTTGTTTTATTTAGCTTTATGTGTGGCTTTGCATTTTCACAAGCTTTCTGAATCAGAGGTTAGTCAAGAGTTTCCTGAATAGAGCATTTGGCAACCCTGTGCTACGTCCAGCTGGCATGATCTTTGGGAGCTCTTGTATGTGCTCAGAATTCTGACGAGTCACTAAACAGACTAACTATCCTTTTCTAAACATGAGCATCTCTTTACCAGTACATCCATCTCCACTAAGGTAATCTTTATGCACCTGTCTCTGTGCAGTCCTCAAAACTACACACAGAGCACAATATAGACTGTGTTTAGCTAAACGGCCCAGTGAAAAGGAATGTTTTAGTGGCTAGATGGTTTCTAAGTGAGACAGGCTGAAATAAATAAATAAAAGACCACCTGCTAGATCCACTGAAATACAGTTTGTAAAGACAGAATGAACTGAATTGTCATGCCTCAAAGAGTGAGCCAGAAAAGGAAGTATAGACATAACAGTGGTCCAGTGATTTTAAATATCAATTTTAAATATCCCTGTGACTTTTTAAAACCCTTACAAATAAATCTGAGTAAGTTTCAGCAACAGCATAAGCAATTCTTATGCAGGAGTCCAGGCACCATTTAAATGAAGTGGATGGTAATGAGTTGATTACATCAATTTTAGATGATAACATATCATTGACTTTAAGTCATTTTAATGACAGGATGTTTACGGTGATGTCTGTGCAAAATAAGGGGTCCTTAAGTATCTAATTGTTACTCTTCTCTGTTTACATTAAATCTTTTACAACCAACCAGATGTGAAATTACAGACTACAATCCCTAAAGAAAGACCCTCATTCCTGATGTGTAATGTTACCTAATAGAGCACAGGCTGATGAAGTGGACATTACTGATGCAGTGTGAGTTTTAATCAATGAAGCCGTCATGGAAGTGCCCTGGAACAGGAGTTTTTTTATCTTCTGAACAATTCATCTGTGTACTGCTGCTCTGGGTTTGGACTTTTGGACATATGAACTGCAAAAACACCAAATTCTTAACAGCAAACCTTCCATATGGACTCATTTAAGATGAAAATAAATAAACTAAATGTATTACAATGTATAAATAAATGTATAAATTAACAAACAACCAGTCACAACACCAATACAGTGTTTTGAAGTTTTTTTTTTTCTTAAGTTTCTTAAGGAAAAATGTCTTATTATCAATGTTGAAAACAGTTTTTTTACTTTTGATTGATTGATTGAACTGTGAAAGTAACCATTGAAAAGGTAAGTAGGATTTTAAAAAGAAAATAAATTAATACATTTTAAGTAACAGTAAAGACATTTATAATGATATAATGTTATTATAAATGACTTAAAATAACTTTCTATTCATCAGTGATCCTGAATTATGTACTGAACTGTGATTATCACAGTTTCCACAAAAAACTATGAAGCAGCACAACTGTTTTCAACACTGGTAAAATAAGATAATAATAAAATACATTCAAATAAAAAAACAGTCATTTTAAATTGGAATATTATTTCATAATGCTAAAGTTTTTACTGTATTTTTTATCAAATAAATTCAGCCTTAGTGAGCACAAGAGACCACACAATGATAAGATTCTTGTTTTTTTTCTTCAGATTTGTACATTAAGAGCAAAAAAAAAAGTATGATTTTTGTGTTTTCTCAGAAAAGCAACAATTCAGTACACTTCCTCGATGTTACCTTTTTCTCCTGTTATCTTTCTATGACCCATTAAGCTCTCTGATCCAGAGGTCTAACAGAAGTGGTTTACTGTATAAGTAAAAGTACAAGAAAGTACAAAAGCCTCAGACGCACGAGAGCAGGAAGTGCATTTTCTAGTGACGTAGTGTAATGGGTACATGGAAACGGTTCACCTGAGAGGATGAGAGAGAGAAAGAGAGAGAGAGAGAAAGAGAGAGAGAGAGATGGATGGATGGAAACTGGCATGAACTGGTTGACCTGAAGCTGGATACATTAATGTGTGTTAAAGACTACTGCCATGGAGAAGTAGGGGTGTGTTTTCACTGTACCTCCTCTAAAAGTAAGAGGAATATCAAGAACTATAATACCGAGAAGACTGAACAAAGCTGCCTTGCTGTTTAACTGCATGTATTTGATCTGTCTCTCTGCTCTCTCTGGGGCAGTCATGACCTAATGGTTAGAGAGCCTGACTTGTAAACCAAAGATCGCGGGTTTGAGTCTCAGGTCCGGCAGGGATTGTAGGTGGGGGGAGTGAATAATTCCACCTTCAATACCACGACTGAGGAGAGACCCTTAAGCAAGGCACTGAACCCCCAACTGCTCCCCGGGCTCTGCAGCAATATGGCTGCCCACTGCTCCGGGTGTGTGTTCATTACTGGGTGTGTGCACTTGGATGGGTTAAATGCAGAGCACAAATTAAGAGTATGGGTCACCATACTTGGCCACATGTCACTTCACTTCTCTTATCTTGTATCCTGTTCTTGAGAACATTACCAACAGACACAGCCACATTTCCATAAGCCAAAAGTAAAGCCAGATTGCTATAAGGGCAAACATGGAGGACGGGGCCCAGCAACCTCAAGAGTGCTTAGGCAGGCATCTCCACGGATGCCTGCTGTCTGGAATACAGAATGACTTCATTTGGAAGGGAAATGGGGAAGGAGGCGGTCTATTTCACCTACATCACAGCAGTGATTTTACAGACCATTTAAGAGGCTCACTATTTCTTGCTGAAGATTTGGTTTTAGTTTGCCATATTATGCCAATGCTGGATAAACTGTCAGACAGACAAGGGATGGTAAAAGAAAGAAGAAAAACTTTCCCATGCACACCGTTCTCTGTGGAATGCTGCTCCGTTTTGCGTTTTGACCATATTTTTTTCTTTACTTTTCTCTGCGTTGTCTGTAAGGTTGGTCATGGACTCTTCCCTTGCTTTTCTTCTCTTTCAGTGCCACACCCACTCTCAACTCAAGCCCTTTCTAACCTTGCATGACTCTCTGTGACTTCGTCCATCACCCGGGGCAACCAGCACTGTTCTCAGAAATACAGACCGGCCGGAACTCACACAGAGAGAGACAGAGAGGGTAATTCACCCATGCTGCAGAGGTCTGAGGTGTTATTAGCCAAGCAGCCTGTGGTAGATCTGGCTAGCCAAGCATACAGCCATTCTCTGAGCTCTGTAAGAACCTGCTGAGAATGGATCTGAATAGTGGACTGAACCTCACAACCTTATAAATGAACAACATTGTATATTGTATATAACCATTAACGTAGATGCATAAAAGCTATACACAAATCTATGTAATAATATAATATAACAATATAATATAATATAATATACAAATTGAAGTCACATGCATGAGTATAAGTTTGAAAGAAAAACTTAACACATTAATGTAATAATAATATAAATGGAGTATACACTACCATTCAAATGTTTGGGGTCTGTAATTTTTTTTTTAATGTTCACCAAGCCTGCATTTATTTGATAAAAAAATAGAGTAAAAAATAATGTTGTGAAATATTATTAGTTTAAAAGTAATGTTTTCTATTTGAATATATTGTAAAATGTAATATTTAATTAAATTTTTTAAAATGTTATTCCTGTGATGACAATGCTGAGTTTTCAGCAGCCACGATATTATTTCAGTCTTCAGTGTCACATGATCCATCAGAAATCATTCTAATATGCTGGTTCTTAAAACAGTTCTTATTTTCATCAATGCTGAAAACAGTTGTGCTGCTTAATATTTTTTTCTTGAAATCATGATACTTTTTTTCAGGATTCTTTAATGAATAGAAAATTCAAAAGAATAGCATTTACATGAAATTGAAATGATTACATTGCAAATGTCTTTACTGATTCTTTTTATCTTGTTGACTTTTGATTTAATGCATCCTTGGCTGCTAATAGATTAAAAGTATTAAGATTATCATGAGAGACCCTTTACTCTTCACATTGGGGTGATCAGGACTGGGCATGACTGCTGCACAGTTAAATTAGGTCAGATGTGTCCTGCAGGGGTTCATGCAAGTATTTTGGCTGTGGTGATTGAAAGAGAAGACATCTTATTAATTTGAGAGGAAATTACCAAATAGTTTCTTTTATTCAGGATATAATTAAGGCATAAATGTTTTTTTGTTTTTTTTCAAAATGCCTCTTCTTTATCTGATCTTTATCTTCGCCTGATCTTTATCTTATAACTGCTTGAAAAACACTCACACATCGACTTACTTCTGCTCTGCTACACCTTTTTGAGCGATGGGTTTAGAAACAAGCTGAGCCACTGTGAAGACGAATGGTTGCTGTGGCACTACAAGCAATAAAGTGTTGCAATTTTACAGCTGAAAACACAATGCAGATATTAATGCTCCATGTCTCAATATAATTAAGTTGACTCACATAAGCATGGGAATAACTGCAGACCAAACAGGTATTCATGAATCATGTCTCTCATGCTATTTGGCACCTGGATTTCTGCTTAGTTTGTACCACAAAGCAAAATCATCCAGCAGGTGTGTTGCAGACGTCTTTTCCTCACTTGCTCAAAAACCTCTAATATTTGTGTCTACAAAGCCTTTAGTCTCAGGCGCAATATTGAGATATATAAAGAGCTAAACTCAGCACACTAATATTATTTTATTTTTCACCAATTCAATTCCATCACCAGTACAGGAATAGATTCTGCAATTGGAATTGGTGTTTGGCAAGCCTTTGCAACACTCAGTAATCTTAAAAGTATTATTTTCAGAGTTAAATAACTTGCCGTTGTTCTGCAGTAATTGCATATTTAGGTAATGGAGATAAAAATAAACGATTACAAGTTGAGTGTTTGCGAAGTTTGCTGCAAATGTATTTATTTCAACTGCAATTTCTGCTCATGCATATATAGGGCATGCATTCATTTAGAAGTGTCAAGAACAGGTGTCTTCTCTTTGAAGGCTCAGTCTGTATAAAGCACTTACGCACCATCCAACACTGACAACCTTTCAAACACATTCTAAACAAATTCTAAAATTAATTCTCAGTTCAAAGACTCCGGGAATAGATGTTCTCAGCAATAACAGATCCACATGAAAAGAGCTTTACAGAGAGAGCCTTTTTAGTTTCATTAAAGAAGAACAACTTTTTATGCTTCAGTTGCTTAGAAAAAAATGTGCTGGTGCTTTAAAAATCCAGATACAAATAGACTGATCTGAAGAGCCTATAATGTGACATCAAGAAATGTTAATCTCCAAAGAACCATTTGCAGCCAAAATAATTATTCCTGCTGTCTGATGCCATAGGAGAGTCTTTTTAGTTTCACAAAAACGTTTTATTCACTAGTTCCTTAGAATATTATGCACTGGTTACTAAGACACAGTTTATCAAAGAACAGTTATTAAATGGTGTTATGTTATAATAATAATCTGATTGGATAGTGCTCTGCATAATAGTCTGTACCAGACTAATGGCCAAATCACATGGGCTGATGCAGCATGCATATTCAGCACAGTAATGCCCTCCATAACATCTCATACTGTGCTCTCAAACTTAAAAATGCATAGACAGAATTCACTTACCTTAAAAATTATGCCCAAAAAGTCAAAATCCAAAAGCCATGAAATCAGTTTGCTAAGTTGCAGTTACTTTTACAGAATCATTATAGGCAATTTAAATGCATTCAAAGGCACATACCTCATTCCTCTTGGATTCCTCTTGAAAAGCCCCCGTGCAGATGGAGGATTGTAAAGAGTCTTATAGAGTGCAGGCTGATGATGGATGCTGTGAGCTCGTCCAGAGGAGGAGAAGAAAGAGAGAGGATGACAGAGAGTGGAGGAATAAAGGCGCAGGAAGGATCTGCGATCAACCCACTCTCTTTAACCAACAGAGCTCATTTTCCTATTTGTCCCTGGCACGATGAAAAAAGTGGGAAGGGACGGAGGAAAAGTTAAAATGCCCTAAATTAGAATGAGCTGAGAGAGAGAGAGAGAGAGAGAGAGAGCGAGAGAGAGAGGACACGCTATTAATTAAGTATCATACACACCTGAAATGTTGCTCGATGCCCTGTTATTGTCCTATAAAAAAGGGTAAACCCAGAAGAGTTAATGCATGTAATGTTGTTTCAAAATGACAAGTGACTGAGAATTGATTTGATACGAGCACTCCTGTTCTTCATACAGCATACATTTCTTCATTTTTTTTCTCATAAAAACAAATAAAAAAAAATGCTTGCCATGCTTAAAAGAACAAAAACGAGAGATAGTGTAGAAGATTCTTATTAATCCAAATAGGAATTAATCAAGTATAATCATTATGAATATAGCCATTTAAATATCCAGTTATACTTCCATTATAATCCCATATGCCTGTGTGTAGAAACAGGCCTACGTGGCAGAATGTACAGACCTCAGATAAGAAACATCTGGAAAAACATAAGTGGGGGCTTTCTTTCTTCACCATAACAAGACTAGAGAGTGGTGGGGGCCTTCTCTCTAGGGAGAATTGTATGCACAAAGGAACCATTCTATGTATGGAAAACTGTATGGAATATGTACCCCACGCCTTAAAATCCAACCTGTATAAAAGGGGAGACAGAAAGACATTCTGGAGATGTTTCGCTGCAGAGAGCATCTCCGCTTTATTCTCATTGATGATGTAATAAAGTGTATCTCCTGGCATCAAAACCCAAGACTGAGTGTGGTTCCTAAGATGAGCAGCAGACGACACCACAATAGCTCCAGGCATCGTTTGAGTTCATTGCTGGTTCATAATTGGGAATCTTCTTGCCCGACATTTGCTGATTATGTCAAGGCATTAAAGGATTCAAACCTGTCGAGGTGAAGACAGCAGACAATTCCTCTATGGTTAAAAAAAAAGAAAGAAAGATCAAATTGACACATCAGAAACACAAACAAAAACATGAAAATTTGCTGAAAATGTACTTACCCTGAGATCATCCAAGATGTAGATGAGTTTGTTTCTTCATTGCAAGAGATTTGGAGATATTTAGCATTACATCACTTGCTCACCAATGGATCCAGTGAATGGGTGCCATCAGAATGAGTCCAAACAGCTGATAAAAACATCACAATAATCCACAAGTAATCAACATGACTCCGGTCTTTCAATTAACATTCAGTTAACAAAAGCTGCGTCTTTTTAATAAATAATGGCCTGAGGGTGAGTACATTTTTAGCAAGTTTCATTTTTGGGTGAATTATTTCTCCAACAAAGTGTATTCAAAAACTTTCATTTTTGGGTTGTCTGAATGTTTGTTCCAGAAATATGCATTCCAGAAATATTCCAGAATGAAAACTGTGCCAACAAGTTCTCGTAGTCTTAGTAATGTAGGGTAATCATTTTGTTACATGGATAAACATCTTGAGGAAACTTTCACTCTCAGTGAATTTACCCATTGTTTAAAGGGGTCATCGGACGCCCATTTTCCACAAGTTGATATGATTCTTTAGGGTCTTAATGAAAAGTCTATAACATAGTTTGGTTAAAATTTCTCAATGGTAGTGTAAAAAAACACTTTGTTACCCTGTCAAAAACAGCTCTTTTCAGAGCACACGCAGTTTTGTAGCATTTTCCTTTAAATGTTAATAGGATGTTTTTCATTGGTGGGATTGTAACATTTTTAAAAGTGAACTAATTTTGATCAGTTTTACCTGATCTTATGTTGTAGCTCCGCGTTTTGCAACCAACCGCGGTGCATATTCTATGTACGTTAGCATTAGAGATAACATTTGATCCCAAAACCAACTCAGATATATGTAAATAGTAAAGAGTGCTTCCTTTACAATCACTCAGATATATGTAAATGCATATCACAATTCCTATTTTAAAGAATATATATCCAGAATATGCAATTTTTTGTTTTATAATAATTTTAGAAATGTAAATGTAATTAAAAATGTAATTATGCATTATAAAATGTAATTATGCAATTCTATAAATCCATTAAATTACAAACCCATGTGACCTAAAGACATCAAAGGTCAGTCAATCATATCTGAGGATCAGCGAATGAAACTGTGACCACAAACACCATTAACGTAAGTGAATTATATGGCAATAATCAGCAATATGCTTTCACACAAATAACTTTATTTTTGAATGTTTCAATATGCGTTGACACAAATGACTTATTTTAATTTTTCATTGATACAACATGGCACTGAGTTGTTAGAAAATCATTTTTCTTTTACTTTTTTTTTATTACAAAACTTGTAGAAACGTACAGAAACAGGGAAGCGAGACATGAATATATTTCAACAAAAAGCAATTATAAAAATAAGAACAGAAAACAAATATTCTGGATTTGCATGTTAATTATTATCGATACATAAAAGTACATAAACTTACATTCTTTTAGAAAAGTTGTCATAATACATCAAATGTTTGGCACTCTTTTTGTTATTAGAGATGAAACAAGAGAGTCCAATTCAACAAGAAAAATGGGGAAAGACAGGAGATTTAAGCCATTGTTGCTTATGAATGAAGAATTTTGCATTCAATATAAGAAAATTAGTTGTTAGAAAAGAAATGCGTAGAGACGTTATTGCTTGATGACGTCAGGAACCGATGAATCGGCTTTTTGAACCGGTTCAATGAGCCGATCTGTCCGAAAAGTACCGGTTCGCGGAAATGAATCTGAATCGGAAATGTCATGGCTAAATATAAGCTACACAGTGATTAAACTGAGTGCAACTCTCGGTCACATCTGTATAGCAGGGTAAGTGTGTATACCTTCCATGACTCGTTGTGCAGACTCTCTCAATGCTAGGAGAAATGTGTGTCAAGGTTGGTGAGCTTTAATAACCAGATCATTCAGTAATGATGAGACAACTGCTTATTCAAATAAATGACCAGTTTGAATTGGTTTTGAGGCATGAGTCACAGGCTCACTGCTGATTCACATCTGTAAGTTTGAATCTGATCCATTTGAGTCATGTCTGTGAAGGTAACCGCATGTGGACACAGCAGACCAGAGCCTAGCCTCCTGTTAAAACAGTAGCAAACTTTCAGAGATGCGAGGCTGGATGATAGAAGCAAGGAATAGTTTCCGCACGCAGAGAGAGGAGGGTGAATATGGCTTTGTATATCACATATTCTTCAAGTCATATACAAGAGGAATGTAACATATCAACACAGATGACAGTCTCAGAAATCCTAAAACATGCTGAAGATGAGAAATCAGGTAATATCACTCTGAACATCCACAGTAAATGACTATGTGCATTAGTCAAGTCAAGTCAAGTCAAGTCTGCTTTATTGTCAATTCTTCCACATGTACAGCACATACACACAGAGAATTGAAATTGCGTTACTCTCAGACCCTTGGTGCATATTATGAACAGCCTTAAGTTTATATAAAAGCAACAGTACATTGTTTATTGGCTCTTGCATTATGGTAATCCTTTAATAATGAGCAAGGGTACCTCTTTCTGTACCACAAGGTTACTTCTGCCTGCCAGCCATTGAGGATTTTAATACTTAAACCATTTTACAGACATTACTACCATCCACATCCAAGCCACAAGTGGGGAAGTATGAGGTCGCAGACTGCCGTCTCTCTACAGCACATCCCATTAAGCCTGATTTCATCAGGAACTCTTTAAAATAAAGTTCAAATTACTAACATTAGTGAATGAAATGGGTATCATAAAACAACAATTTACAGTATTTATCAATTTTTTATATATTTTATGCATATTAAATTATATTTAATGTCACTTTGTGTATAATACTTAGTTTATAGTTTATTTATACAACTTGAAATGTTAACGCATAAATTAATATTAGCTGAGATGAATAAATGCTGTAAATGTATCATTTATAAAGACAAATACTAATAATTATAAATACTAATATTAATGTATATAACTTAAAATAATTACAATTTCATCATATACCAAGTAAAAGACTATTTAAAGAGAAATGTCATATATCTCAATTTAATGGATCAAATGGGATTTTTACACAATTTTTACATTTCTATTTAAAAAATCCTAAAAAATGACCAGTTTTCATATAAATTTTATATTAAATATAAATATTAAATATAAGCAGCACAAATGTTCTCTAAATTAATAAGAAAAGTTTATTGAGCAGCAACTCTACATATAATGGTTTTAGAATTATATATATATAATATATATATACTGTATAGTATGGATGGATGGATATATCATGGTTTAACAATCATAAATATTAACATGTTAAAATCTGATGGCAATTTGGTTTATTTTTAATGTGGTGACACAATCAAACTTAATGTTGGTATGATACAGACATTAACAAGAAAAATTACAAAATTGAACTATAATGTCAAAAACATCCATGCTTTAGAATAGGACACTGGTCCTTAGGCTGAGGCAAACCTCACGGATAATATAACAGTTGTCACCAGAGAACCCTTTTTAGGACTGCACTAAAGGTTTTTACAGCCATTCTAAATGTGTGGGCCTAAATGTTCTGTTAAATCAGTTTTGCATATTTTAGAGAATACTTATCCTTAAACATACAAAAAAGATGCAAAAAGTGAGATTACTGCATGTAATGCAAGTATCAGGTTGTGTTCTACAGTTTGTTAGATTGAAACCTTCTGATTATGCAAAAGAGAATCCCAAATAAGGCTAAAAATCAGTCCATCACAAGCTTGTTCAACTGCTGGGAAACTGGTGGGCAAGGAACATCCAACTGCTTCCCAAACATCACCAAAGTGGTGCGACCGGACTCTTAAACACAGACTGACTGATGATTGAGTGGGTTTGGAAGGAAACAAGCTTAACTATAATCTCAAGGATAGCAGTTGAGGCCCTGTTCATTTGGACAGTTAAATACAGGAGGAGCAGTAATTCATGTGGTGGTGTTGAATTCACAGTAGAAGAGGAATGCCGACTCGTCCTGTTCGTCAGACATCAGAAAGACAGACAGCCGGAGAGTGGAACAGTGAGAGCTTTTTTTCTTTTTCTTTTTTTTACTTTCTCTAAAGATTCTGAACGTAACTCTAAACATCATGTATACAGTTAGCATAAAGTCTAATTATCTGCAACCTAATTGCTTTAA